GTATCTTCCCGGACCGGGGCACGAACCCGCGTCCCCTGCGTCGGCAGGCGGACTCTCAACCACTGTGCCACCAGGGAAGCCCAGGACAGTCTGCTTTTTAAGGGCTCAACCATTGACTCCTGTGGTGGCTGAGGTCCAGAGTGGGCAATCGCCTGGCTCAGGTTGCACAGCACAGCGAGGATTCTTCCGGTGCCCAGCTGCTTGTCTCGGTCCCGCCGAGGCTTGGCCTGGCTTTAAAAAGCAGAGAGCGGCGAGGGCCAGCCTATTTCCCGGGGAGCTGGAGTCTGGGAGGGGGTGTGGCGCCGAGAGCTTTTGCTTCTTTCTCCTGCCAGGGAGGCTGGATGTAGGGTTTGGGCTTCTTCCAGAACTAGACGAACTAACGACAAGGGAAGAGAAGCTGGCTTCCCAGGCTGTCTCCCCCGTCCCAAACTTTTCCTCCCAGGCGGAGGGTGGATGGGCGAAGGGAAGAAGCGGGGCCGGGAAAGGTGGGGCCAGCCGTTCCCGTTCCCTCCCCGCCAGGCTGCCGCGGCTCTGGAATGCCAATCGGGACGCTGCTTGGTGAGTGTGTCTTTAAATCCGAGACCCCCGCCCCCTTGGCGGCTGGGGCCGGGGCTCGGGCTGGCCGGGCGGCGGCGGGCTCGGTGATTGGCGGCCTGGCCGGATCCGCCCCTCGGCTTGGGGGTCGTGGGGCACGCGGAGCGGAGCGGAGCGGCGCGGCGCGCTGCGGCTGAGGCGGGTAGCTCTCTTCGCCGGCGAGCGCGGGCTCCTTCTCTCGTGGCCTCGCCTCGTCGCGCCCGGCCTGCCAGCCTCCGGAACCGCCTCTGCCCACGGATGGGCTGGGGAATTTGGGAGGAGCCAGCCGGAGCCCGCGCCGGGCGCGACCCGCCGCTGCCTGACTCGGCGCCCGCTGTTCGGGCGCAGCGCGCCAGCCGCAGGAGCGCTGATGCCCCGGAGCCGCGGGCTGACAGGTACCGACGCGTCCGGACCTGGGCTGGCGAGGGAGGGCCGATTCAGGAGTTCTCTGGGCACTCCCGGGCCGGGGCTGCTCGGACCACCCACTCCCCATCCCCCAGATCGCACGCCTCCCTGGGCTCCGCGGAGAAGAGAGGTCCTGGGCTCCCACCCAAACCCGCGCGGGATCCTTGCCTGGGAGAGAAGCGGAACCTCACATATTAAACAGTGAGGAGTTATTGAGTCGTTCTGTCTGTCCGGCTCTGGGCTACCGACTTCCTCGAGGAGGTTTCCCTCGGACTGGGGTAGATGTGAGCTGGCGACACCTCCACTCGTAATGGCTAGGCCTGGGGCAAGGCCCAAGAGCTGGGCTTCCTGTGCAGCTGCGGCGAGGCAGGACGCCTCATGATCCACACTTGGGGTCCCTGGGCTCCTCTTTAGGGGCTTGAGGCCCATGGCACCGGGAAGAGTCCAGAGAACCCAGTGGGTGCAAGCTTTGATGCTGGGCCTCATCTGGTCCTTTCCTTCTGTAGGCCTGGGTCTCCGAGGGGAGCTCCCTTTTCATCTTCAGAGGTTTTTCCTGAAGGGGCAAGAGGCCTGTCAGAAAGCAGAGTGCAGTGTGCGGGAGACTGTTTCCCTGGACTTTCGAAAGTGGCCAGGGTGGTTGGAACCTGTTCTTATCTCTTGGGGAGTCAGAAATGGAAGAAAAGCTCCCCGACTTCAGGAAGCTTCCTAGCTTCCCTACTCTCTCGACCAGAATTCCAGGCACCGACTCCTTGGCTTCCTGCAGAGCAACCTGGACCCGTGACTGAGCATTTCTTAAATGCCAGGGAGGGTGGGAGTGGTGGAAGGTGTTGGAGGGTTCTCCCCTTAGGTGGCTCAGCCCCACGGGGGGAGACAAGACATAAACACAAAGAAAGTTCGCTAATACAGGGTTTCCATCCCAGTTCCGGACTAATAGTAATGCTAGTGGAAATACCAAGAGCATACACACGAGTAATTGCTGAGTGAGTGATACGGTCTGCAGTTGCTAGGGGAGCTGGGATGCAGTTCTCAGGCAGCCGTGCAAATATGTTTAAAATGTTCTGTCTCCATACCCATCCTTTGTGATTATCGTGCTAGTGGTTAGGCCCTCTCACCACTTCCGTGGACAGGGCGCAGCTGGAGTGTGCCCCAGCCCCACTCCCAGGTGTTTTTTGTTTTTCTGCTGGTGGATTTCTGAAGAAGCACGTTTGGTTTCTGGGGTCAGGCTCTAACCATAGGACTCTCCCAGCCTTCTTGGGGCTCATGAGGTTTAGGGTCTAGATCCAGCCTTACAGGAGGAAGTCCTCTCTTCCTTTCGGAAGAGGCTCTATCGATGGCTTCCTTTCGGAAGAGCCTCTATCGCTGGGGGCTGGGGATGAGTTTGTCAGGCTGGAGGCCCTGAGCCAGACACTGTTTCCTGTGAGTGCAGACAGACAGTCTTGCCCTCGCTGGCCATCGGGGGTTGGAGTTGGGGGTGTTGGAGGTGGGCAGGCCTGGCAGGGCTGGTTTGAGGTGAGTGGTACCTGGGGCATCCTGACCTCACTTCTGAGGTTCTGCTTTGTCTAGGGCTCTGCCCTCTCCCGCATCATCCCTGGCAAGTTTCTGTTTTCTGTAACACTTTGCAGAGGTGGCAGTGTGCTCGTGCCTGTGGCCTTGGGAGCTGTTCTGGGGGTGGGTGTTGCTGAACTCACCCTTTAGCCCTTGGCCGGCACTGTGAGTACTTGGGTGAACACACCCACCTGCCTCCAAACAGGTGGCACACACAGGGTCACCTGGGCACAGGTGGGGAATGCTGGCATGAGAAGAGATGTGCGTGCGTGCTCAGGTTTATAACTGTGTGGGCAAGGGCAGTGAGGAACTGGATACAGATGGACACGAAGGCAATGGAGGTGGGCAAGCAACCCAAGGCACAGACACGTGCCGGGGCAGACAGTGTGAACACACAAGCGTGGACCACGCACAGGCTGCAGATACTCTATAGATGGACCTACGCTATCATGGAGATTTGGCTGATGGAAGTGGACAGACATGGGTGGGCTCACGGAAGCACAGACAGGGATGTGAGCTGACATTCACCAATGTGAGACATGGAGCCACATGGACGTGCCTTGAATCCTGGGCAGACATGGAGTTGGCTCTGGGCATCTGGGACACAGACACTTATACCTGCTGAGTCTTCCGGCAGCAGAGGGCAGAACACAGTCGGAGGTAGGTACCAAGATATAGTCTGAGGCAAGTGCTGCTCAGTTATCCCTGTGACTCTGTGTGGCAGCAGTGCCTGAAAGCTGACCTGTTTGGGGTGGAGGTGGTACAGGTGCTGTGTGGTGTGGCTTCATTTCTGGACTCCTGCTTTGGAGTTTGAAGACCCCAAAGGGCTCAGTATCCTCTGTTTCACCCTGAGAGTTCTTTGACCTCCGTACTCCCTAAGTTACAGGGCTGGGTGCATGACTTAAACACCATCAGGGACTTCTTGAACTTTGAGGCTCATCTCCCCTGGGTCTCCAGAGCTTCCTGAAGTGAGGTCATGTGGTCAGGGTAGGGGAGGTACCTGGCTGGGGACTCTCCTTCTGAGCCCAAGCCTGAGGGTTTTTGGCAGGGAAGGGACAATCCCTGGGAAAGAGAAAGAGTAGACATGCAGTTGGGTCTTTGATGAGACCTTTGCTTTCTGGTATGGACTGCCCCTCCCCCAAACCCTTGGACAGGGAAGGCCCCCCTGCCCCCAATCTGGCTATGGCTCAACCTGGAGATTGGGAGATACAGCTCGACACTAACTCACCCTGTTACCTGGGCAAGTTACTTAATGTCTTAACTAACTCATCTTTAAAGTGAAACGTCTCATCTTTAAAATGGTGCCAGTAACCCCTTGCCCTTGGGGTGTGGTGAGGGTTAAATGTGAGATAATCAGTGGAAAGTGTGTGGCCCAGGGTCTGGCACAGAGCGAGCACTGTCAGTGGAGCCTTGGTGACCAGCCTTCCCCTGTGGCCGGGACTCTTCAGAGCCGCTTCAGCAGCCAGGTGCCTGGCCCTGGGAAGGAAGGCTAGCAGGCCAGGCACCTCTGGTTTGAAAGATGGAGGGCTTTGTCTTCACCTCCTGCCCACCAGTCGCTCCTTAGCCCTGTGGGACCTCTGCGTGCCTGCAGGCAGGGTGTATGAAGCTTGGGTCTGCCTCCTGCTGGGCCTCTGGGAGGGGAGCCAGTGGTTTGCTAAGAATAGCCCCAAATTATGGCTCTGCCTCTCAGCGGGCAGCCGTGCATCTTCCCAGCATGGGCCAGGGGGCTTGCAGATGGGCCTTTTGTGTTTCCTGGAACTGGTGCTCAGCACCGGGATGAGCTTGGGAGCAGCAGGCCGGATCTGGGAGGAGGCCCTGCTGTTCTTCTTAGGTGTTTGGCTGGGACCTGGGGAAAGAGAAGGTCCGGGGAGAACTAGCCTTTAAAATCTCTGAGTTCCTCTTCCACTTAGAGCTTGTCCTGACAAGTGACCCATCTTCCTACCCCTCAGCAGACCTGTAGCGATTAAGAATACCGGGGGCTTCCCTGGTGGCACAGCGGTTGAGAGTCCGCCTGCAGATGCAGGGGACGCGGTTCGTGCCCCAGTCCGGGAGGATCGCCACATGCCGCGGAGCGGCTGGGCCCGTGGGCCACGGCCGCTGAGC